AATCCGTCCAGGTCTGCAGCCCCTTTCGGACTAAAGTATTAACTTGGTAATCGTAAAATTTAAAACATTTCAAACACTTTTATTTATCATAATAATATTTTTCATATCATAAACAGTACAGAGTTTTCAATATTGCGGAAGCTTAACAAATCATAACCACAAACATAATTTATTTATATTCTTTAATTTAAAACCATCACATCCATTCCGACTATCTCGCCTCCGTCTGCCTTCAGGATCACGTCACATCATTCTATAGACCTGCGTGTAGCAAATAAAACACACTACACGCTCAGCGGTAAAGCTGAGTAAGCATATCTAATGCGTTGAACATCCACATAAATTGAATCTCAATTCATAATCAACCATTTGATATCATGCACATAATGTTCAATTCAGATATTCAATAATCAATATTCAATTTTCAACATTCATTATTCAATCATCCAACATGTATATTCATCATTTGTCATTTAACAGTATCCTTAAACTATTCTTAGTCTAAAGCCAATCACTTTAATATTTGTCAACCCTTAAATGAATTCTAGTTTAACTAATTAAACTATATTCCAGTATGCAGAGTACTCCTAATAATCCTTAAGCTAGGCCTAGTTTAAGATAAAAGGGTTTTGGAAATCTTAAACTTACCTTCACTTAAGGCCAACCAAAAACCGACAGCGTAGTGTTCACTGTTGGGTGGGTGGTACCCCCAAACGAGTAGGTACTCAAGTTTGGTTCTTGGATCCCGTACGTACGTTTTAACCCTAGCCATTGGGCATCATACCCGCAAGGCCTAACTCATATAGGTATATCTTAGAGTTCTTTTAGATACCTTTCAAATCAACATTAATATGGGTATATCTTAGATGTCTTCTAAATACCCTTTGACAATACATATTATTTTCTCAAACATCAATATATTCATTATGATTTAATCATTCATAATTTCCATTTAGAACATTTATCAAGATTTAATCATCATAATCATCAATCAATAATCATTACCATAATCATCAATCAACATAATATTCAATAACAATTAGCGGCCTAGTCTCGAGTGTTAACACCCGAACTTACCATCATGCATCACATAACATATTAGGATTAATTAAAATATTATATTTACTTTAAAAATGATTTCATTTCTGTCTTGGAGTGGAAAAATATCATGATAGCATTTTTTTGGAGTTAATTTCCGAACATGAAGATTTTGGACAGGTTAAAATGGCCTGTGGCGGTACCATCCTACCGTTTCACGGTAGTGCATTACCGTTGCACGGCAGTGCATTACCGTCGCACGGTAGTGCATTACCGCTACTGCGTGCTGCATTCGAATCAGGAATAGTACTTCGTCTTCAACCTCGGTTCAAGCTTCGTGAATATCATTTTGAGCTACCAAACTTCAATTAAACTATATAGAAATGTTCTCCCAAGTTCATAGATCATTTTGGTATCATTAATTCATAATTTTAACATCAAATTCAAGGTTTATGATTCTTAATTTTTCAAACATGTCAAACACAAAACTCAACCAAATGACCATTTATGAACGCAGAAATGATCTATACGAACATTCTAGTCATTAGATATATCAACGGGATTACCTCGAAGCTTAACGGAGGTTTTGGATATTTTCCGGCGAAACTTCCGGCGAGGTTTGTGGTTAGCTCCGGCGACCTCTCACCAAATTGATAGCACCACTGCACTCCTCTCTCAACAAAGAATAGAATAGAATAAAGAATGGAGAGGTTTGGTGAAGAAATGAAGGAGCTTGGGTTCTCTTATATAGGAATGGTGATGGGGAAGGAGCCAAATTTACGTTGCTTCCTTTCCCTGTGTAATCGGCTGAGTGGAGTGAGCGGCGATTTGTAGGATTTTACACGCAACTCTCTGATTGGGACAAATTTGGTTCCAGTCAGGGTACACTTTTTGGTCCAACTTTCTCCGAATTGAATTTCGTTTGCACCGTTGCAATCGGACAATTAAACTCTATCCAACGATATAATTTTTATATTTATTCGTTATACTTTTTCTGACATAATATTTTTAGGTGTTTGACTTTAACAGAGTCAAAATTGGTTTGTTTGACCTTTACTCAAAAAGGTGCTCATATCCAATTCATATTATTTATTTCCATGATTTATTTCAAGAAATCATTTCAAAGTTCACATTATAAAACAATTTCTTCATTTATTCTTAATTTGGGTCTGTACTCAGGTTCCCAATCAAGATCACACAATAAGTCAACAGGTTGGATTTATCTCTATGAGATTTAACCCAATTATGTTTACTGGACATCAATATATATTTTATTTTAGCCCAAAGCCCAATAATAATTTATTTTAATCAAAACAAATTTTGTTTAATTGAATATTTAATTCAATAAATTTTAGGTTATATTTTGGGGCGTTACAAGCTATTCCAAAGACAGCATTTCCTACACGTTACAGACATTATGAATTTACCGTTATGCCCTTTGGCTTAATGAACACACCAGCTGTATTCATGGATCTCATGAATAGCGTCTTTAGATAGTATCTGGATGAATTTATTGAGGTTTTCATCAATAATATCTTAGTGTACTCAAAAACACCAGAGGATCATGCTGATCATTTGTGCATAGTGTTGAGTATTCTGAGAGAGCATAAGTTTTATGCCAAACTTTCTAAATGTGAATTTTGGCTGAATGAGGTCACTTTCCTCGGTCACGTGATTTCCGCTGAAGAAGTCAAAGTTGACCCATGCAAAATTTCAGCAATCACTGAATAGAAAACTCCACGCAATACACGTGAGGTACGGAGTTTTCTTGGACTCGCTGGTT